GTTGTTCACCATTGAGGACCACAGTGTTACATGTAACTAAATTTCATCTCTTTCATATTGTGTATCAATCCTGTGAATTTAATATTCTAAACATTTCATACTTCATATTTCATTTCATATTTTCTTTAATTAACCTGATATGATATCGAGATTCCGGATCTACATGGACAATTTTCACTATAGTCAAGGCCTTTTGGTATTTTGTCTACTTTGACCAGATCCCTGAATAGGCTAATTGAACGCATACGTTAGAATGTCTTCTTTCCATTGTATTCTTTCAATGTACATTTGAGTTAAATGACTATTTTTGATAGTATTATTATTTGCAATTTTTTTACCGATGTATGCGCTGATCAGGCCCTATACCTCGAAGCCCCGACACATTCTGGAGGGCTCGTCAGCATTATCAACCAACGACCACTCCCCACACCGTGGGGTAAGTGATCATTTGGTTCGAGAATAATGTGCCCTGAGCAAGCCCAGTGAGCCAAGAATGACAGCCTTCTGCATCTGCCCGGCTAAGACAGGCCAAAATGATTTCGAGATTCAAGAGTAGAAAGGGCATCATTCCACCAAGGACAACCATAATCAGAACAATCATCTTAACAGAGTGATATGGATAGAGTCTGCGGAGTTTGAAGAGAAAATCTCGATATTTCATCCGTTTTTCTTTTTTTTTCGGACGATATTCGTCTCACCAGGAGCTGAAAACTCTACGACAAATATCGTCTTGCTCTGGTGGTAGAGAAGGACTACATCAAGCTTATTAGCTTGTATGAGCCTGAGGGTGGGAAACTAATAGTTTCAATAAATTTGGCACATTTCGTTCCCCACAACGGATTCAATATCCCCCGGAGCGTAGGGCAACACTGGTGTCTCGTCAATACAGAAAGAATGTCGTAGATATAGCACTCTAAGGGCCGCGTTATGTCGATGGAGACCGCATATGCTGGTCATGCTAATAGCAAGTGAATTAGGGTTTCGGGCCCCTCGCGGCAGGCCCTGCACCTTGTGTCAGAAACCTCTACACCCATCACGCGACTGCGGTAGACTAAGTTGTTGAAGACACCATCCTGGCAAGCCATGATGATCCCCTCAGTTTTTGACTTCAGTCCGCTTGACCTGAGAAAAACGAACATCAGGCGCTTTAATAAGCCAATGTCTTCAATGTGATTGAAGAAAACCCCATGTATTGGCTCATCCTTTTGTTTCCGCAGAAGTGAGGTGATCTCTGCTTTTATATGGTCGTTCGGTAGCCAAGCGGTTCGGCGTGGGTGCTTTGTTCACTCACTCCAATTGACTGCCGTATTGGTCGGTGGTTCAAGCCCTAGTCTGAACGATCGATCTCCACTTGCTACCGTCCAACCCGTGTTAGGAATCACACGTTAAAAGGTAAGACCTCGTTGATCCTTAGCTCGCACAAGTTTCGACTTCTGAGGGTTGTCGTTCGTAGGGATGCGACAGCTGGTTAACGGAAAAACAGATTTTAAACAGACAGACACATATGAGCTTTTTGCTGAACGGGTTTCAACTCGGTGACCTCGTTCAGTGTCGAAAACTAAACCGAGTTCATCAGCTGCTCGGACAGCTGCCCTAAAGAGAAAAACTTCAATTCCTGCTCTCTCATGGTAACTGGCCATACGGGGGATCCTAACTCCTGACGACTTCACCGGCTATATCCAATACCATTCTGTAGACACTCCAAACTCGATAGTCCAAGGCCTCCTTGTTGTCGGGGGAAGTACAATCGTGGAACGGACGATTTGGGGTGCAAACTCCTATAAAGATGCATCATTTTTTGGGTCTTAATGTCGAGTTGATACAGCTCCACCCGAGTCCAGTTCACTACTCCAAACGTGTACAGTAAGATTGTTCTTGCAACTTTGTTCTTCTCCAATAGTTCCGATGACCAGATCTGTCGAAGTTTGTACTGATACTTGCCGAGGAGGGAGAGTTATTCACTGCTGTTACCTATTGTGAGTGGCGTTGTTCCACCCTGAGGTAAGTATACGTCTCTCCGGTGTAGGATGCTTCCATCGTGTCCGTAGTCCCCGTATCGTCCTCTTTTGAGATGGACGTTTGCACATATGTCTATCCCGAATTTCATACCTATAGCATGCATGTACTCTTCCACCACCCTCAAGGACTGATGGAGATCCTTCTCTCCAGAGGCATACAGTTCAAGATCATACATATAGAACAAATGGCCGACCTTGTGCCACCGGTTTCCGGGAGTGCCACAGTTCTGAGCGCAACGGTTAATGGCAATAGTGAGATGTAGAAGAGAAGGGGACTGAGAGAATCGCCCTGAAATACACCCCTTCTGTGAAAGGGACCGCCCTGATTGGACTCTGGCTTGACAAGATGTTATGGTGAAGCTAGTTTGCCAGGGTGATATCAGTTGTTCAATGCATCTCACTATTTTGTCGGGTACCGCAAGGCATCTGAGCAAATTCAAGATGAGCTCATGCGATATTGTATCAAATGCCTTACGGTTATCGATCCAGACCATAGAGAGGTTGCGCTCATATTGTATAGACTCCTGGGTTACACATTTATAGATGAGCAGGTTCTCTTTACATGCAGCGACTCCTCTCTTCGACCCTCCGTGCCCATATATCTGTTCGAACACTTGGTCAACTGCGGTGAGTATTCGTGTGTATAAGATGCTTGTAAACAACTCATAACACGAAATGGAGTTCTTAAGAATCGACAAATCTCTGAGAACTGTCCGCCCCTCGGCAAACCAATTTGGAATCGGCTGCTCTGGTCAGATAGCGGTGGGATTTTTCCACCAATAAGTGTTCAGCCCATCTGGGCCTGGAGCAGCAAAGTTTTTGGAATCCACGAGAGCTCTTCGAACGTCATCCGGGGTTATCGGGCTGCGCAGTTCATTGAGCTCAGGCTGTTGAAGCTCTCTGTTGAAAGCTTCGAACTGCGTTAGGGCTGGAGTGTCTAAGTTTAATGGCTGCGGGTGTTCATAGATATCCTTCCAGAAGGATTCCACCTGATCAGCGGTCGGCGGATTATCCACAACACGTGGAGGCTCTTGGAATAAGCGAGAAGGTTTCTCGCGAAACCTAAGGTTTTCCGAGATACTTCTCGCTCGCTCCACTAGTCACTTCTTAGCAGTCACTAGCATTCATATCCTATCAAGGCAGTGCTGTTCAGTGGTCAGCAGTAAGCTTCGAGTCAAAGTGTGATGGATACATCGTAGTTTGGCGACTATTCGCCGCACTGCGGGCGTGGAAGACGTTTTGGCCGCCTTGTAATACATCACACATTGGATTCGAGAAGCGTATTGTCTCGCCGTGATCTTAGCCTCCATCTGTGTACACGCCATTCAATTTTTCGAATCGCAAGGCCGAGATCTCGTCCTTTTGACTCGGAAAGCGACTGGACAACGCTATACATGGCGGTGTTGATTTTTCAGATGTCAGCTTCTTCTTTTAAAACACTATGAACCTCCGCATCCAAACAAGCCAGTTCTTGTGGATTCAGGGGCTAATTCTGTAGAGCACCCTGCGTGTTAGGATGGACTCCATTAGTGGTATGATGCGAGTCTCCTCTTCAGCCGTGCCAACGGGTGGTAGAACTGTCACTTCTGCCACTTCGTTAGTAGGCTGGGAAGAAACTATATAGCCCTGCCGCCAAAGATAGGATACGTAATCCCTAAGATTTCGGGCGGAAAATGCGGCATGCTCCGGATGTGTTTCACACCATAAAGAATGCAATCGCGCTATGTACCTTCTTCGCGCGGGCTCACTACTCTCGTAGCAATGCATAAGGCTATTTCTCAGCTCATGCGTCCATTCTAAACGTCCGTTATTATTGTCAGGGTTGTTATCAGTAGGTAAATCAGCGTTATGGGTCGCACCACCTTGCCTCTGACCCCTCCGAGCGGTTCGATTGTGAGGGTACCTTCCTCGATTATTAGGTGTGGGTAAGTGGTGGCGCAACTCACCAAAGGCCAAGGACGTTAGTGGTCATCCCTGCTTGCTATTATTATTATTGATAATATTGTTATCATTCACGACTGTGATACTCGAAGAGACAAATCTGATTCATCTCACTGACTCTTCGTGGAATTCATTAATGCAACTGAAGTAAATCATTCAGTAAGCATAATTTTGAGATTTGGATGATCTCTGTATATTTTAAATAATATTTATCAATGATAGCCAATGAATTATTCTTGTGGGAACTATACAGAAAACATTATTTTGAAAAATGAAAAAAGAAAATGTGTCCGTACCTGATTATGTTGATAGTTCCTACTGAAACCTCTGATGTGAAATGAATCTATTGAAAACACTTCCCCAAGACCGAAACAAAAACTACGGTCGCTAACTCCCTAACCAATTTAGCGTCCTCAGGAAATCATCATGACAGTCTCATGAAGACGCTAACTTGGTTAGCGAAACGCGCGTCGAGAGACCGTAATTTTTGTTCTGGTATTGGAATAGTGTTTTCAATAGGTACCTAATTATGTTGTTTCAACGTTTGCAGCCAAGCGTTTTTGAATTAAATGAACGTATATTTCACCATTTGCCATAAAAACTCAAAATTGATAAAATCCTAAGAAAAAGGAGCTATTTCTAGACGATTGTTAACACTTTTTTGTTTTTGATATTTTATATTTATTGATTTTTCATATAACAGTCTGTTATAAACCCAAAGTACATCAAAGACATTGATGCATCTACAAAAAATAATGTCATTCGAATGATATAATGTTTCCCATCATAAAGTGTACTGTTCAATATGGAAGTAGGATAAAAAGCAACCAATTCTGATATTAATTTGATAATCCACTATGATTTGATATCAAGGTGTACCTATAAACATCAGAAGTATGAATTTGACGAATAGTTTCACAACCACAATTCAATTTCTGGTGACGACTATACTGAAATAATTTTGATAATGCAATGACTTTCATGAAATTCAACGTGATACCGGTTTTCAATAGAACTGAACTCTCTTTCCTTTTTCCTCAGGACATCCAAACATAAAAGCATTCATCACTCAATGCGGAATACATTCGATAGAAGAGGCAGTCTTAGCACAAGTTCCTATAATAGCTATGCCGTTCTTTGGAGATCAGCTGAAAAACGCTCGAATCGTAGAGAATAAAAATATTGGGAAACAAATTTATCATAAACCGGCTTTGAGCTATAAGGATTTGAGAGATGCCATCATGGAAGTTACACATAATGAGAAGTAAGTTACATCAAGACAATTCCTGTTCATAAATATTCTTCCCAATGAAATAAACGAGATAGCAGAGAAACAGTTACAGAAAGACTTTCTTGTTCAGAATTCTCTCAATGGTGAATAATACACAATGGCGGATTAACAAATCTTTAATGTATACAGTTTTTGCCGCCTTTGCCTCTACAATTGTGATGTCTTAATTTTCACAATCCAACAATTTCGTTGAAACTACATGTAAAATAATTTTTGGGTATATTTTTGAGCTAATTGAAGCTCAATTATGTACTATCGTACAATAATATTCATTTGGTAAATGTGAATAAATGATCCTTATTGCCCGTTAAAACAGTTGAAAATAGTCAACTCAGTCAAGTTATTAAAGTTCATTACAATACCTTTTTGTGCAATTTTTTATCGGCAAAATCATCGATGATATCGTCGTGGGAAATCTTGTTCATTAATTCTGACTCATTACATAAAAGAGCTGAAGCGTTTAATTTTTCTTGGGTCACAGTCTGTCTCTAAATTAGGCCTTATGGTCTAATTCATATCGCTTATATACATAAGGCACTACGAAAGGATATATCCAATTTTGGATAAACGTTCAACAAACGCTGTTTCCGCAAAAACGGAAATTGACTCTCTGATGATATAGAATCTGGTTTCACCAAAATGTTTTGCGAAAATATGTGGCATCGAAAATGTATACATTCTTGAACTCACTAAGTCTCTGAATCAATAGGTTTATTTCGTTCAGAAATGAAAATTTCCCACAATTTTGCCCTTTTCACTCATACAAAGTGTCGACTGAGGGTGCATATTGGGCGAATATTTGTTGCGGTGAAATAGGTGTTTCTGAAATATGGAAGTTTGCTACTCTCGGATTGTGCAATAAAAAGTGAGAGAGGCAAAATCTGTTGCAGAATTTTATCTATGAAGCATCAGAAAACCTTCATGCTAACATCTTTTTGATTTCCATGATGTAGCAAACAGAAATCGGTTCTCAAGTTTGCCGCCCCAAAAATATGCCGCCTATTGGTTAATCCATTCTATCAATTGAAAATCAATAAATCGATACTTTTTCGGTTTCGAGTGCATTTATTATTTCATCATATTTGTACGTACAAATATAAAACAGGTCTCGAATAATGCGAATAATTTGTCTTCATTCTTCAGAGCACAATTGTTTTTTTTCAAACGAATGGGTGAAACTGGTAAAAATTCGAAAATTCACTCCACCTTGGAGTTGGAAGAAAATCTCCAAATCCCATTTCTTGATGGTTTATTCATCAAGGAAAGTAATCAAATAGATCATAAGGTGTACAGGAATAAAACACACACAGATCGATACCTACATAATGGATCCAACCATCATCAAAAACAGAAACGACCCGTAATCAAACCCTAGTGATGGAGGTTTGAGAATACGTGAAGAAAGGTACGTCGACGATGAAATAAAATACCTAACAACTGTGTTACAAGCGAACGGCTAGGACAGAAAAGACATAATCCGCGCTACGCATCCAAGGGAGAAGAAGAGGAACACCAGTGAAGAGCAACCCCGAAGCACGGTCTATCTGATACATAGAAGGTGTCATCAACCGAATCAGAAAAATTCCAAATTAACATCGTCTTCAAATCAACGAATAAAAGATCGGAGTACCTGAGATCAGCCAAAGACAGCAGAAATCCACTCAAATCAGCGCGAGTTTACAAGATTCCATGTAACTGTGGTGAAGTTTATATCGGTCTGACAGAAAGGAGCATTGGTACCCGCCAAGTCGAGCACAAGCGGAGTTGCCGATTGGGAAAGACCAAGAAGTCCGCAGTCGTTTAAAATGTATTCTCCGACGGGAACACAGGATCCTTTTCGAATTTACTGAGAGACTAGCAACGTCGAATCAACATTCAGCAAGAATGACATAGCCATAGAAATACACAAACACCAAGAGAACTTCAACAGAAAGTAAATAAGAACATATCCACCAACGATCTGACACACAGCATTGAAAGGCGCCAAAAAGAAGTCTTATCACCCAAATCGCGCGGGAATTACGTGCGTACCAGCCATTACCGAAATTGTGCGGAAAATCACCACTATCAAAGACATGACAGAAATGAGAGCTTCAGTTTCAGTTGATACGTCAAGAAGTGTACTTCGACCATGCCACTGAAGATGACTGTCTCAGTTGCAGTTGAAACGTTTGGAGATTGTAACCAAAGAATACCACGGCAAAACCCAGAAATATATACTTTGTCGAGTGTTGGTTGACAAATGGTCTCATTTCAGTATCCATCAGTTTTTATTTCAGTATGTAGCAGAAAACAACGAAAAATTGATGAGGATAATAACTGAGTTGAAAATTTAGACTCAACTTCTCTAAGTTGTGAATAAATTCAACAGCACACATTAGGTTACATGTGACAGATGATTATGCAAACTCTCAACACAGATCGCACTGCTGATCACCGTTGATACGGTTCCAGTTTCAGAAAAGTTTTTGTGGTTTCGTAATAATGGTGGCACATCAAAAATATCAGTCGAATAATTTCTCGAAGAAGTGAATGAACAAACAAAAACAACTTATCCGATATTCTCTCAACCTCATGTGATATATAATTCAGGTTGGACATTGGAATTGCAGAACAGTAGATATTTCAGTGGCGCACTGCCAAATACTCTCGACAAGAAAAATAGCGAGAAGTAAATACAGTTCATTCCATTTGAAACGAGCCACCCGGAATAACTTGTGGTACAATGATTTTCAGAAAAAAATAAAAAAATACGTCAACAATAGTATACATGGGGACACATTTTGACATACTCACTTTTGATGTTACTTCTCCTATCGCATCCCATGAGCATGTCACCGTTTTTTTTCAAATGGATAACCCTGAGCCACTCTGGATAACTTTTGAAACAATGATATGCAGGAAAAATGAAAAAACTGGTCAACAATCTTACAGGAGGCCACATTTTGAAATATTCGTTCTAGAGCCAAATATGGAAGCAATAAATCAGAAAAGGAGATTTTTTATTGATTCTTGAATCAAAATCTGATGACAGGACAATAAGAAGAAAAACTTTTCTATAGTAAATGTTTAAAAACGTTTCCACCAACTTCCGTACAATGGTACAAACGAGCTTTCATTGCCGCCCTCACATGGTTGAAAATCTCGGGAGTTATTTCTCTGCAATGCCTCATGATGTTCTCTCTCAAATCTTCTGGTGTTATCGAATTTATCTCATACACTTCAGACTTCATCCAGCGACCAGGAAAATCGTCGCACTGGATCTGCATGATGAGGAAGTGCACCATCCTGCTGAAAAACTATTTCGTTTTCGAATAAATTTATATCCTCCTCAATTGCCCTATTGATGCACGGTATTATTCGATTCTCCAACATATCTGAATATTTATCGTCATGTGGTCACCTAAAATTCCTGCCCAAAAATTCAGTTTTTGAGGTCGTTGGGTATGAACTTGACGGTATAAATGAGGATTCGTATTCACCTCTCCATTCATACTAAACGTACCTTCATCCGAAAAAAAAAATTTATACAAAAAATTATGATGCAAGTTGATCCGTTCAGTGAGACTTTTACAAAACTTGATTCGTCTATCGAAATCATCTTTGTTCAATACATCAACTAGTCTAATCTTATAAGGATGAAATTTGTACTTATGAAGCATCCTGAAAACATTTGTACGACTGATTCCTAGTAAGAGATTGCGAATTTTCCATTAGTCCAACGTGCCCTAAAACTGCAGTACAAATAGCTTCATCGTTGAAAACTCCTGAACGGTTATGCTTTTTATTGCTAACAGATCCAGTTTCCATACATTTCATCGATAATTCCAAAACGTATTTGAGTCGGACACTTCTTCCTGGATGACTATCATTGAACATCAGACAGCATTTCTAGCACTATTTCCATTCTGGTAGTATAAACTCACTATTTCAATCCGTTCTCGAAGCGTATGAACCATTGATTCTCAAGAATTCACAAAAACAGAAACACCAATTGTAACTTCACCTGGTAGGTGAATCAACTCAACAACTATATTTGGAGTATACCCATTTTCTATAGTTATGTCTCTGATAAAAGTTTTATCCATTTCTTTTTATAACTCAGATTCTTTTTAAAATATGATAAGTTGTGTAGCATGTGAAACAGCGGAGAATATTTTGTAAATACATATGAATAATTCAATCACATTGCAGGTATAAATCGTCCATTAGAAAGCTTGCCAGTCTTCTTGGTGATGAACCAATGAGTGGTTTGGAAAAGGCTGTATGGTGGACTGAATACGTTATAAGGAATAGAGGAGCCAAAGAGCTACGAAACCCCGCTTCAGACATACCGCTCTACCAGTTTTACTTGTTGGATATTTTGGGATTTATATTCTTCACTTCATTCTTATTCTGCTACATTATAAATAAGTTGTTCTCCAAGTTTCAGCAATATTTCATGCGGAGATGGAAAAACTGGAATGATCCGAAGTTGAAAACTCATTAGCACTTCCGTTTCTCTAGGGATTGTACGTTAGAAATAAATTTAAAATATACTAAAAAACTCACTTTTGAGATTACTCACAACTAAAAATTATAAAGGCAGCTCAACGAAAATAATTTCAATTAGGTGACGAACGGCTGCCTTACTTTATTTAATGAACAACTTCTATTGTTTCAATATGTCTTTTGACTTGTCTCAAAATAAATTTGAGCTATCACAGTTTGGGTCGAGAGTTTTTTAGTGAATTTCAAGTTTTGAAAACGGAAAAGGATTGTTTCTCGAAACGTTAACCACTCAAGAAAACTAATTATTAATATTAATTTTTCTCAATTGAGATTTTCAGTCAAAATTTATGAATTTATGATTACTGACTGATTGGACTTTTCAGTAATTTATATTATGCTGTAACTTTTCGGGGTGAACTTTTCATTCCGTCCTTCATCACGCTCCAGCAGATTCTCTATTGATTCAGCTTTTATTTTTTCAGATTGTGTAATTTCCTATTTTTAATTCAAAATGAGTGACAAAAAATTGGCTTTCATATAAAAAGTTTAATGAAATCTCAAATATTATTGGCCAACCAAAGTTATTTTTTGAATGAAACACCCAGCCGTCTTTCGATTCCATTTTTTCAGCTCTATAAGGAATTTCTATTTTCGAATTTCCATTTCGGCATTGCCAAGTTATGCCAGAAAAACCTATTTTGCAGAAAATATTTTTTTTTTAATTCACCACCCGCAAGTCTACAGCAATTAAGTGTTTTTTTTTTTAGGAAAAGTAAGTCAGCATCACCATGATAATTTAGAGAATCTCAACTTTTGGAAACAATATATAGGGAGCTCGGTAAAACCGATTAAATTTCATTAATTTTCAAACAGACACAATTCAACTTTTTAGAATGCAAACTCTGTATTTTTTCATTTGTATGAAATGTTTCAACATTTTACAGTTCGATTTTTATGAAAAGTTGGTTCATTAAAAAACAACACGAAACCGAAAAAATCATTTTCCTGATTGATCTTTTCCAAGCCCCATCGGCAAAATTGGAAACGTTTCTCAAAATATTTTCCTCTCAACTCTTGCATCAATTGCATGTAGTAACGATGAAATTTACTGACTCGTATCATTCGAGACACGCTGGTTTGAGAAAATCCTAATTCTCTGCTCAGGTCTCGGGTACTTACATGGGGATTTTCAACAGGGTGAAGAGCAATTTGAAATGTATTCTCTTCATTTGTTACAGAATAGACACGTTCGATCTTCTCGTGATTGACAACTAGTTCCTTCATAGCTTGTTTTTTAGAGCCTGAAATGCCCTTCCATCTGGTTGTCTTCTTTCGGGGAACTTCTCTTTGCATATCCTAGAAGCAAGGAGGCAGTTTCCGCCACTTTTCCCCAAAGCATACACCACAACATACACGATAAAAATGATTCAATCTACACGCAAAAGAAACTTCAACACATGACGTTATTGACAAATTCCGAGATTAATTTTTTTATGTCGGTCATGGGTAACTGGGTTTTTGAAGAGAAAAGCAGTATAAATATTTTATATTTGAAAAAGTTGAATTATATCTGGTTGAAAATGAATGAAACCTGACCGGTATTACCGAGCACCGTATATATTGTTTCTGAAAGTTGAGATTCTAGAAATTATCAAAGTGATGTCGACTATCTAGTTCCAAAAAAAACCACTCAATTGCTTTAGATATGCGGGTGGTGAATTAAAATAATATTGTCTGCAAAATAGGTTTTTCTGGCGGCGATGCCGCAATGGAAATTCGTTGATAAAAATTCCTTAGAGAGCTGAAAAAATATGGAATAGCATGACGTATTCATATACTGGGTGTTCTGAAAACAAAATATAACTTTAGTTGGCCACGCCACGTCTGAATCACCCAGTTGTTTCTTCTGATAGCAATGGACCAAGGGAATCTTGTTGACTCACCCTGTACATATACGTAGATACAATTCATATAATATTATCGAAGATTGGTAGCCTGATGATTTTTCACCTACTGTTGGTATATGGTATCCATCAGAAAGTGTTTCGATTCCGGATAGATTACCACGTTCATCAATGGTACGAGCAATCCAATTTTTTGATGCGTGTCTGTAACATTAATATATGCTCCATCCATATAAATAATAGTTAGCAAATAGGCTGGCGTTCCATCAATATTTTTCTGTTATTTTTTTTTTTTTTCTGATTGATTCGGCCGTTACTTGATGAAGATCCATAGTAATTTCACAACTTTTTCAAATGATTAATCATTTGAAAAAGCTAATGTTTTAGCGAAACATGTTATGATTATTTTCAATAAAGTTAGTGGAGATCAAATCGTTTAAGTTTGTGAAATTTTTCTGTTATTTCTCACGTTTCTCCTTCTAAATCCAAGTTTATGATTTTTTTCTCGCAAAAACTGCATAAGAAATCATTCTTTTTTTTATATGGAAATTGATTACGCATCTGCGTAAAATTGACAAATCAGCATCATCCATCACAGTTTCAAAATGTTTGATACATATTTTTTTATTTGGGATTGAGAATGTTGTTTTCACCTTTCTATTTGTTTCATCTCTGATTTGATTTTTGGTATAGTTCGCCCGCAAATCCCCGTGGCCTCCGCAACTCGTTTTCAAGCCTGCAAAGTTGAAATACAATATTGTTGAAATTTCACTTATTGATTTTTGAATTCGCAAGAGAAATGCTTATTCCATCTGCCATTGTTTCCGCTCGCATAAATCTTAATAAGTTGTTCAAAATTCAAAATTTACCTGCTTTTACACTGAGAACTCTGTTTTCCAGTTTACTGTTCGAAAGCATTTTCAAAGACAACAAATAACTCATAGTTCACTACATAGAATATTTTGTCCACTCACATTTTTGAAGAGAGAAATATTGACTTCTATGTGAATTGAAACTACTCAGTGTTAAATGAGGTAACAAACAAATAATTATTGAAGATTTAATTCATGAAAACTGTATTCTTTTTTTTTAGTGGCGGAAGAGGATGTTAAATAATTCTCCCAAATTAATATTTTCGAAGTTGTATGATCCATTACCATGACGAAGTAGGATTTTTTGAAATCTACTTTCAACTATTTTCAACATGTTTGATTCACGGTGTGAATCACAGATATTCACAGATATTGAATTCGGCTAGGAAATCGAAGATTTTGCACACAAAATGAAACTGAAATTATTACTTGTAAAATTTAAACTGCAATAAAACTAGTCTAATTTGCCACATATTTGCCCACTCTTCTTACCTAAGATGACATATCAACTGGCTTATAAGGTAATCAAATGGAAATATGAATTGATGGATGTAGCCGTTACTACGTGGTAGGAAATCACAATGAAGAAAAAATTTGGTAAAAAGTAGTAAAAAATATAGAAAGTTTCATTTCTCTTTTCTTAATTGCAAATATCGTTGAAATTTTAGGATACCAGTTTTCTTATGGTGATGAATAACTAACTTCCCTCTCAGATGAGTGAATTCAATAGAAAGTCATCATTTATCTTATTCATAAAATTGGAAATTTTCTATTGTTAAGTATACATGGAGGGAGTGAATAATGTGACTTTTTTCTTGAACTCTAGTGCGCATCATCATGTGCCAGAGTCGAGAAATAACTTCACCAGCTTTATGAGTAAAAATATTCAAAGTTGAAAGTAGTACATTATATCAGATATTTCTGCTATTATATTCCAAGACTTTGATGAGAGTGAAATTTGTTGATTTTTCAGCCGTCGTTCAACAGTGTGGTGAATAACTAATTACTCACTGAAAAAAATAGAATTGAAATTTCCTGTTTTCTACCACTTTTATTTGTAACTAACGTTACCGGAACTTCGTCCTACAAGGAAGTTTTCAACTTATACATCAAACTTCAATGTAATGATGATAGAGGACGAAATTGCAGTAACGCTAGTTACAAGTAAAAGTGGTAAAAACATAGAAAGATTCAATTATCTTTTCTTCATTATGATTTCCTACCACGAAGTAACGGCTACATCCATCAGTTTAATTACTCACTGCCCGGCCCTGCCTAATATTGCTCAGTATCATCACTTCATTCAATCATTACAAATTGAAAAAAAGACTCAAGGCTCACCTAACTCTCCAGTCTCTTGTCCATTCCCGACTTGGCAATACACGGTTGCATAAACTAATTTTTTTGCTCTTGTCACTACAGTATCATTGTTAACTTACGTTTTTCATCTTGTCATCACAGTATCACTGTTAACTCATGTTCTTGAGGTTATTGTTCAATTATTGCTATTTCCAGGTTGTGTTGAAAAACAGCCTAGGCTGATAATCCGCCTCGTCACCTTCATACTGGAAGTTGTTTCCTTTTTTCTTTTTTGTCTGTTTCTATTGTATGTTTATGGTAAATAAAGACATATTTTTTTAGCGAAATATGCACTGGTCAGGTCCTATCCCCCGAACCCTCGATACGTTCGAGAGGGCGCGCCAGCATCATCAACCAATGACCATTCCCCACACCATGAGGAAAGTGATCATTGGGTCCAAGAATAATGTGCCCTGAGCAAGCGCAGTGAGCCAACAATGACAGCCTTCTGCAACTGTTCGGATAAGATTTCTGCCTCAGTGCGGCAGGCCGGTATGATTTCAAGATTCGAGAGTAGAGAGGGTATCATTCCACCAATGACTCCAATAATCAGAACAACCGTCTTAAGGTAGTGGTCTGGATAGAGTCTGCGGAGTTCGAAGAGAAAATAAATCTCGATATTTCATCCGTTTTTCCTCCTGTTTTTGGACGATATTCGTCTCGCCAGGAGCTGTAAACTTCACGACAAATATCGTCTTGCTCTGGTGGTCGAGAAGGACTACATCATGCTTATTAGTTTGTATGAGCCTGACGGTGGGGAACGGATAGTTTCAATGAATTCGGCACTTCTCATTCCCCACAACGGATTCAATATCCCTCGGAGCGTAGGGCAAAACCGGTGTCTCGTCAATTCCGTAAGAGTGCCATAGATGGTAATATAGCACTCTTAGGACCGCATTATGTCGATGGATATAGGCCGAGACCGCATATGCTGGACATGCTAATAGCAAGTGCATTACGGTTTTGGGCGCCTCGCGCAGGCCCTGCTCCTTGTGTCAGGATCCTCTATACCTATACGCGACTGCAGTATACTGAGGTTTAGAGGACACCGTCCTGGCAAGCCCTCAGTTTTCGACTTCAGCCCACTCGACTTGAGGATAGCGAAACTCAGGCGCTTTGATAAGCCAAGGTCTCCAATGTTATTGAAGAAGACCCCATGCATTGGCTCATCCTATTTCCGCAGAAGTGAGGTGATCTCTGCGGCTTTTATATGATCACCTCTTTCGGTGTCTAAAACTGAACTGAGTTCATCAGCTGCTCGGGCAGTTGCCCTGAAGAGAAATGCTCCAATTCCTGCTCTTTCATTGTCACGGACCATGCAGAGAAAGGAATCCGAACTCCTGACGACTTTACAGGCTATATCCAGTACCATTCTGTCATTTACACACTACAAACTCAAAGGTCCACAGCTCCCAAGAAATATTCACTAATATGCATAATGTCCCCATTTCAATTTAAACAATAAACACCTCGTATTGCACTGAAATACGGTTTGCACACAAATATTAACAATTGCAATACCAAAACTACCACGAAAACAGGAGTAAAACAACACTATGAAACCACAATATGAAATTCAGATCTATATAAATGAAAATTACCAAAAAAAATAGTACTGGATGTCACTAAACTATCACTGGCCCAACACGTTGGACGCCATTGGTAACTAGTCTCAAGCCCCATATTGAAAAGAGGAAGAAAAAATGTTACAAGGTTTGTCTCGGGAACCGACGCTCAAAATCCCTGCATGCTCGCGGCTACGCTCGAAGTGGATATGCTCGTGGGTATACTACAGGTGAGCGTTTAGGTGATTGAGAGAACAAGTCACCTCACCTGTACAAAAATATGGGCACCACCTCGTTTCCTTCCACAGCAGGTTCTGTCTTAGTTTCTTTTTAAAGATCTAGGAAATCAGAAAAGGAAAAGCCAATTCCCAAAAAAATTACCCTGTATATTTGAATAAAATTTCAAGGGACAACCAGTACAGTTAAGGACATTAAAAAAAGTTTCAATTGTTCATGTTATGCCACATCGCAACGTTTACACAAATGAGTCACATGTATCTTCAGTTGAATTACAACGAATAAAATAGTCTATACAGAGCAACTAAAAATTAATTTAGTGGTTTTTTATTCCTCTCGATACCTAAGGCATTAATATATGAAACTGAACGTTTGAACTATCTATATACAATAGAAAAAATACTGCAGGGAAAATTATACCATACGCAAAGTAATACCTTGATGAAGAAACCAGATTATGAGCGAACGACGGCGAATGGATCCATTAGCAGTGGTTACCTTATGCAAAATTGTATGCTTTCAGTAGTTCTTTGCTTTCCGCTGATATTTCACAACTTCATATTAATTATAGCTGCAACTCAGCTTCACGTCCTTGACAAGATAGAAATGAACTATAGTGTCAGAGTGATGGCCCCTTTTTGAAACAAAACGTATATATCTGATGAAAAGTAATGAACTATAGTGTCAGGGTGATAGCCCCTCAAAAAATATATATCTAATAAATAGACCAAAATAGGAGTATATTTCTCTTGTGTTCAAACACTTATCTGAATCCATATGGACTTGTGGTTCCAACGGGGAGTCTGGAACAGAAATAGCTGGATCGTGGAACGTCCAACAAATCGTGCAGGGGTAGGATCTTGGATCGTCAGTCTCCCAAATGAAGCTTGTTCTGAAGACAGCACGCACGACTTTCAGAAAAGTATCCCTGCCCTCCACTAAACCTCGGCACTTGGACTCAGTTTCTCAAAAAGGGATATGGTCCTCCAAAAGAGCTTCCGAAACAAATCCGGCCTCCAAACGATGTATTTCGGACCTGAACCTTTGCTCAAAGGTTCCTCTCTAATAAACCAGGGGTGGTAAAACGATGAAAAAGGTATGTCAGAAGCTGTGATCCCCTGATTGGGTACTGAGTGAACAATTTGCCCAAAATTCCGAAACAATCAAACGACGTCTTCACATTCCACAACGCCTCACTCAGACTATAACGCAGCAATAAATCCAGATAATTCCCAACATAGGATGGTTTAAGAAACCTGCAGAGATCTTTGGATATGAAATATTGCGTAACGACTTCAGTCGTTCACTGTGACGATTCTTCTTCAACCTTCTCTCACCACCTCTCTCGAAAGAATGTTCCCGAACCGGAAACCTCCCACTTTCCAAGTCCATTTCGTGACACTTTGAGTAGTGTTACCAACGGATTTCTTTCGTACTACTCATAGAGGTGTGTTTTCTTTACGAATACCAAAACTCACTTGAACCCAAATAACAAAAATCTCGACTATATCCTAACGCAGCAAATGAAGCAACACCCTTACAATACTACCACAGTCTAAACACTATCTAACTCCGATCATAACCAAAATTTTCCAAAAAACTCATCAGTTTGTATCTCACCATCCATCTAAATGCAATTCAGATGGATGGTGGGGAACATATTGGGGCGAGCAGGACAGGACTTGGTAGTGACCGCAATTTGTGCACGAAACTTTTTGACTCGTCACACCACTCACCACACCATGGGGTAAGTGGTCATTGGGTCCGAAAATCATGTGCCCTGAGCAAGCGCAGTGAACCAAGAATGACAGCTTTCTCCATCTATGCGGCTAAGATTTCTACCTGAGTGCGGTAAGCCGGTATGATTTTAAGATTCTAGAGTAGGGAGGCATTATTTCACCAAGGACTTCTATAATTAGAACAACCATCTTGACAGAGTAGTCTGGATAGAGTCTGCGGCGTTCGAAGAGAAAATATTTTATCCGTTTTCCTCCTCTTTCTTTCAGATGAGCTTTTTGCTGAACGGGTTCCAACTCGGTGACAGAGTTGTGGTCACCTCGTTCAGTGTTAAAAACTAAACCGAGTTCATCAGCTGCTCGGACAGCTGCCCTAAAGAAAAATGCTCCAATTCCTACTCTATCATGGTCATGGACCATGCAGAGAAGGGGATCCGAACTCCTGACGACTTTACAGGCTGTATATATCCAGTACCACTCTATCATGTAGACAATCCAAACTCAAAAGTCCACGGCGTCCCTGTTGCCGGGGGAAGTACAACAGTGGAACAAACGATTTGGGATGCAAACTCCTATA